TACAATATTTTTCGTTCCCTGCAATACCATCTTAATAGAAAAACATATGTAAATGTGGAAGGTGTTAAAGAGGACATCGACATGTTTTTTGCTTCAAAGCCAAGTTATATCTTTAATCAGGGCATTAACAACCTGATTGTAAGATGGAAAAACATCATAGATAAGAATGGAGCTATTTCATTTAATAAATATTTTGTTTTGATATATAAGTTGTTCGGGTTTCTACATCTAAAAAAAGGCGACATTAATATCTTGACCTAATAATTAATGGCATTGGAGAACAAAGAAATGTGAATCAACGTATGGACACAGGACTATCCAGAAAGAGACTTAGAACAGGTCGTATAACAATGTGCGACGTCTTGTAACAGGTAAGAATGCACGAACGTAAAGGTCAGTGGCAAAAGCCGTCCACGTGCCGTAGGGCGTAGACAACAGTATGCAACATAAAAAAAGAATCTCCATTTGGAAAAGTGACACCAGTTATTTCTGTGGCATATAATTCAGCTATCTTATGCCTCAATCAGCCAGAGAATCAACTTATTTTTATACTTTTTCATGCGAAGACGTACAGATCAAAACACCAGACGCAGTGCTTATGGATGATTGTGCGATCGGACTGTTAAAAAGGACACTGGGAAACTGTTGTCCTCGTACACTAGATGGGTTATGGAAAACCTGTAGGAATTAGGGGTGTGTTTATGACATAATAACCTTACGGCGGATCCTTTTTTTTTTAATGGAAACGATGCTGCAGGGCTATTTTCAAGATGCACTGTCGTCAGATATAGCGTGACGACTATGACTCTAAAGACGTGGTGAGACTCCAAAATTGTTTTGAAATAACGTACTAAACCTCTTTATATATACAAACGTTAGATTCTATTGTTAGGTCGACACCAAAATATATTTTTTAAGGTGACCCTAATTCTCCTGCTTCGACAGACAATCAACTTAATGAATATACTTAACATAGAAACGTAGTGAAGCCACTGACGAAATTCCTATCACAATGTCATGATTTCACTAAGTAGTTATTATAAACACATATGTTCAACATTGCAAACAATATTCTAAAAAATAAAATATGGGGAGTTTAAAAGATACCTAGACACAGAGACGATTTAAAATATACTATTTTTATTGCGCATCTGTGTCTCCCAAAAATGTATTTAATATATCTCCTGTCTCTCCATACATCTACCTCAAATTTGAAAATCAAAGAACATTATCCTAACTTGTTTATCCACTCTCACCTAATGAACTCCCATACTATACAACCGCGTATGTGTTGACTGGACCTATTAGAACCCAGTCATTTTAGGTCAACTTAACCAACAACTTACCGCTCCTTCATCTTAAGGTTTTGTGGTAGAACGTTGTGTGTGTGTGTGTGTGTGTTCCTATTCGTTTATTTTTGATACTAAATTAAACAAAAATAAAAACAGGTAGGATCGGAAAAGTAGATAAATCTCAGCTAAAGAGGTCCAAACACTTTTCTGAAATAGATCCTGTTAATCCTTATGATACGAACTGACATTATCACCCTACATGTTTTATCATTAGTATCTTCTTGTCCCTCCCTCATGGGACAGCGGTAAGTCTACGGATATGCAACGCTAAAATACGGGGTTCGATTCCCCGCGATGGGCATCGCAGACAGCCCCATGAGGCTTTGCTTTAAAACAAACAGAGTATCTTCTTTACTACATTAAAATATTTTATTCAAGCATATTTTAACTGTAGTCTTCTAAAGGATTATTATAATTATTTATAGTTCAAATTTCTGATAAAAAGAGTCAACTTTATTCCCTTCGCTAACCTTGCCGACTTCGTTTATTGCACGTTTTCTCTCAGCATACATATTAAACAAAGTTATAAAAAGCCGTGACCGTGTACCACTAACGAACTGTATAAAGTTACAAAATCTGGTTCTTGACTTCCGCAGTGCCCACTGCTACAAGAAATAACTGTTATACTTGGAAACTAGATATACTTACCCCTACATACTGATCTCCTGAGAGATGAACGCGAAGTCGACTGTGGTAAAGTTGCTGGAACAAAGGGTGGATTAGATAGGCTGCATACGTTACTCTATCTAATACAACAAGGATTTTCAAGGATAGGAATGTGTTCAGTAATCCTAGGGTGAATAAAGATATCCCAGGAATAAAAATCATTATAAAGAATTTCCAATCAAAGCAAGCTACTTACGTAGATCAGAACTAAAAATTAACTTAGTAATGAATATAGCTAATTTACTATACTGTTCTTACTTTCAATGGTAAAAATGCATTGAGTCATCTCCTTGTGCGTACCCTCACTGCTAGCAACAATTTCCAAAGTACTCCCAGTAATAATGGCTGGAGACGGCTTGAATGGGTAATGAAGAAAAAATTTAATATAAGTTTAATATAACAGCAAATGTCCAAAGTTTTGACCTGACGATGAAAAAATCATACCGCAAGAG